TGCGTTCATTCAATATATGTACACAATATAAAATGTGTAATGATCAAATCGGGACACATCACCTTTTCAAAAACACCTTGTTGACAAGTATCGCATCTATGTATGGACTACAATGTGATGCTTCCATATGGCCTGCAATGGGAACTGGTCAAATCAGTGTAATTAATCACCATTCTCCCTTCCTTGCCATTACTTTACAGTTGGAGTCTCAGAACTGTTTTGCTTTATTGGTTGAGATGGTATTACCGGGTGTGGTAAACTAGTCTCCCCACTAGGGGCAACACTTAGCAGCACTTCCTCTTCTGGTCTGGATCACTTGGTGCCCCTTATCCACACCCTTTCTGTCCTCTTGGCAGCCCCTCATTGTCACCATTGTGTTCAGACTGCGCTCTGCTGTTTAGCTTTCGCATATGAGGGAGCGCATGCCATGTTCGTGTTTCTATGGCTTCTTTCACTCAACATAACATCCTCAGTTCAGTTCATTTTGCTGCAAATGACAGGATCTCATTTTATTTATTTATTTTCTTTGTCAAATGGTATTCTATTGGATATGTGTGCCACATTCTGTTTATCCATCCACCTGTTGGTGGATACCTACACTAAAGTTGGAGCCAGTACCTCCCAGGATCCAGCAGGACTGCTGCATTCCAGGGCAGGTCTAATTCTAGTGTTTGTTTGTTTTTTTCCCCAAAGAAACCTCCTTATTGTTTTCCACAGTAGCCACACTAATTTACATTTTCATGAACTGTGTATAATATAGCTTATTGTGGTTAGTATTAATGCTAAACTAAACAACCTTAGGTTTAAAATATCCAGGGTTAGATACTACAGAGAAAAAGAGCTGACAGCATACGCACATGACTGATATAACAATTACATTAATGTCCTTCAATAAACTAAGCAGGGAACTGGTTTTATGGAGGTGAAGTGGGTTAAAATCCTATACAAATACCAGTTTGACTCCTGTTCACTCCTACTTCCAATCCAGCTCCCTGCTAATGCACCCTAAGAAGCAGAGGAAGACAGCCCATGGACTTGCGTCTCTACACCCATGTGGGAATCTGGATGGAGTTTCTCGCTCCTGGTTTTGGCTCGGCTCAGCTCAGCTGTTGTGGTCATTGGAGAAGTAATCAGAAGATGGGAGGGCTCTGGCTTTTGTGCTCTCTATGTAAATCTGCCTTTCAAGTAAATTTAAAACATAAAAACAAGCTAGGCAGAGAGCAAGTTACTGGAGGGGATAGAGAAAGGTAGGTACAGCCTGATTGTAACGGAGCTGTCCTGCCAGGGTGACAGCTGCCTGTCAGCTGATGTGTCAGCGACCTCTGCTGGCCAGATGTCCCTCTATGCTCTGCACAGAGAGGTGGCGTTCCTTCCCAGGCTGTGGTTCCCTCCAGACAGGGTCACAGCAAGGGTAGGCTGGCCTGGCTTTCAGGAGAGGGGAATGGGGTTACCCAACCAGTTGCTGCCACTTGGAGAATGAATCAGTAGAAGCTCTCTCTCTCACCCTCACTGTAATTTTGCCTTTCAAATAAACAAGATCTTGTTTAAGAAAAAGACACCTGTCCAACATCAGAGCTACGCATGGCTTTGGTTCCTGACTCCTGCTTCCTGCTAAGCAGACCCTAGGGGAATAGCAGTGATGACTCAAGTACTTGGGTTCCTGTTACCCACATGGGAGACCTGGACTGAGTTCCCGGCTTCCAGCATTTGCTTGGTGCAATCCTGGGGCCCTTGTGGACACTTGGGGAGTAAACCAACAGATGAGAATTCTTTATATACCTTTCGCTATTTCTGACTCTCAAAATAAATAATAATAAAAGTTTTTAAAGAGTAGCATGGGACCTGGTGTGATGGCTTAATTGACTAATTACTTCCAAGGGCCAGGATCCCATGTGGGTGCCAGTTCGTGTCCCAGCTGCTCCACTTCCTATCCAGCTCCTTGCTTGTGGTCTGGGAATGCAGCAGGGGATGGCCTAAAGCCTCAGAACCCTGCAATTGTGTGGGAGACCCTAAACAAGCTCCTGGCTTTGAATTGGCTCAGCTCCATCCATTGTGGTCACCTGGGGAGTTAGTCAGTGGGTGGAATATTTTTCCTTTTCTCTCTGTAAAATCTGTCTTTCCAATAAAAATATACATAAAAAAGAACAACATGTTTACAATTTGACAAAGTAAAGTTAAAGCACTGTGAAAGCAAGTCCAGTGTTTCGCAGTAGGGCTCAGGGCAGGTGAGGTGGTCACACACTTCCTGTCGCTGGGCCACATTTAATCCACAAGGGAACGTGGAGGCTGTTGCTGGACAAGGCTGTGGGCATCCCTCAGTGAAGCGATCCTTCCTACTGGCAGGCAGGGCACATCCGTTATGGCAGACTGCAGGCTAGACAGCTAGCTGGACGGCCTGCTGGAGCTGTCGTGAAAAGCCATGCGGTTCTGTCCAGTGGAACCACATGGTGGCACCCAAGAGCCTCCGCAGGCCTACTTGGCTTAACAAGGGAGCAGGCGTGAACTCCCAAGATAACCAATCCTTGAGCTGGGAATGAGGCAGATGGCAGCGGATTCCTTTCCCTGTTAGGTCCCTTGGAGCTGGCCGTCAGCCACCCCCAGCTCGAGCCCTGCTGACAGAGGGGGCTGATCAGCCCACTGAGAGCTGAAGAAGCAGACCAGCTGGTGGTGGAGAAAGCGTTCAGGGTTTCCGACGCCCGCGTTTTCTCATTTCTCTTTGGTTCTGTCCTATGTTCGTCTTTTCCTTTCAGTGTTCCATTTTGTTTATACAACACAAGATCACCAAGATACCAACTTCTGTCTAGTTTCCATCTGACACAGAGTAGAATTCTGAAAATTTCTCTCGGAGTTCAGTACTTGAATTATACCCACCGAACCACTAGGAAACATTAGAATAGAGTGAAGAGTCTGTTAAATGGATATTCTGGATAAACAAGAGTTAACCAGAAAACCTTCTTTTCTATTAGTTTACATCCTTGTAAAAGTCTAAAACGTATATACTAACAACATACTATTGGAAATAATAAATGCCTATCAACTAAGAGATAGGTTAGCATTCATATAAAATAGTAGGCAATCATCAAGAGTAAAACCTTATTTGAAAGAGAGAGATGGGGAGAGGAGAGAAAGAATCTTTTATCTACTGGTTCATTTTGCAGATCCCTGCTGTATAGCTAGGGCAGAGTCAGGCCAAAGCAAGAGGCTGGGAACTCAATCCAGGCAGGGACTCGAGTACCTGAGTCTTCACCTTTTGCCTGCCAGAGTGCGTTTCAGCAGGAGGCTGGAGTCACAAGCAGACCTGGGCCCAAACACTGTGATATGGGATGCGGACATCCAAAGGGCTATCTTAATCACGGCATCAGATGCTGAGTCCTCCCTGAACTTTTTCAAGCAAACTCAGAAGTGGGCTTTCCACTCCAGAAGGGAGATTAATACCTGCCTACAATTCAGAGGAGGAAGAGATGAAGCATTCTCAGAGAGGGAGGAAACTGGAGCAGAAGAGCCATGACCTCTGAAAGAGGAGACTGGTGGGGACCAAAGGTGTGGAGCCAATTCAGCCAGTGGAGATGACATGATCTGAACTAAAACAACAAAAGCAATTGCATCTGGTCCACGAGGTGAAACCATGGTGGGCCTTGTAGTCCTTTGTGAGCCAGGGGAACAGGGTGACCCTTGGTGCTGTTGCCACTGGCAAAGGGGCTGAGTGCCACCGAGAGCCCCAAATGCCTTGCTACAAGGCAACAGCCTGCTGTTGAAGAATGGGAGGCTGCAGCCCTGCCTAAGTCTGTCCCATAAGTTCAGGAATCCTGCTTCAGTGTGAGCTAGGTTCCTCCTGGTGGAGGCTCCTTCAGGGGCTGACCCTTCTTGGAGATCACACCTAAGCTTGTTCACAGCACTGGGACATTGTGACCCTGCTCAACCATGTGATACCTTCTTCACCCTGTTGCTCACTTGCTTCCACTCACAACCCCTGTGACCACCACACTGATTAGCACACGCCCCCAGGGTCCACCATCTAAGGGCCTAGGGCATGACCTGGGATGTTTTGAGAGGGCCTTGCTGACCATCCTAAGAGGGATCCTGATGGGTGATGGTTTCTAGGGACACCTTTCAAGCCAGAATTTCCTCCCTTGCTCCTCCCCGACCCCCAGCAATCTGACCACACTGAGTCACACTACCATGATGGGGTGAGGGGTGGCTGAGTCAAAGGAATTGGCCCCAAGTTTGATCCAAGAGTCTCAAGCTTGAAGCTGATGACAAGATCCTTAAAGGCAACAGCTCAGCACCGAGTCAAGCAGCTCAGGGGAAGACATGTGGACCCAAGGAAGCACCTTACCACTGAGTGTCTTAGTAAGAAGTTTTTGTAAGAAATCACTCTATATTCTGCATAAACAAAGTGTATGACTCTTTAAAGTGCTTTTCTAGGGCATGATTCTGAAATGCCTGACTCAGGTGAGCTGACCCAACATGGCCATAAGCAGCAGCCACTGTGGCAACTGCAACATACGTGGGCATTGCCCTGCCATGGTCATTGTCCTCTTCTGGCACGGAGAAGGAAGAGACACACAGGGGCTCTGGAGTCAGGCCGATGTGGACTGGATCCAGGGGTTGGACAGTGAAGTACTACTTCTGGGGTGGAGCCTATTAATGAACTAGCTTTATGGGAAGGTGTTACCCAACGCCTGGCACAGAAGAAAAGCCATCTGCATCCTGAGGCCAGCAGCAGGAGGGTCCCCAGAGAGTATTTCATGTTGAAGCAGCATCTGATGTGCAGGGCTGTCCATACACTTGATTATCCCAAGTCTGCTATCCCTAGTTAAGTTTGCCCCCGCCACTTTTTTCTAATGGCATAATTCATTCGGGTCCTAAGCATCTGAGAAGGTCCCAGGGCATGTAAATGAGTCAAAGAAACTGAACCACATGGGAGACCAAGCCTTGACTCATGCAGATGAGGTGGCTGCACAGAATTAACAGCAAAGCATCTGAGAAGAGACTTGGTGTAGGAATAAGCTATTTTAATCAGGCAAAAACAAATTTCATATTCATTATTTCTAAAAATAAAATTAGACTTCTCCAACCCTTAACATCTGCATTTAATAATATCTTCTAACCAAAATGCAGATGCTAAAACGGCAATTACAATATATCGTGTATAGCATACGGTATTCCACTGTCTGTACTTGACTTCTAGTCAGTCATTATGTACTCAATGAATACTTAACCATCACTCAGAATAAAATTTCCACAATTAACAACAACAACAAAAATGGGACATGGCTGTCTTAAAACGACTCTGATATAAATTGTATATAATATACAGAATTATAAAGTCAAGTTTTTTTTTATCAAAATATACACCCCTCCCTGAAACTAACACAAGCCATCAACATTTTAAATGAATAGTACAGTTATAGAAAATATTTGCAAAATTATTTTTTCATGTATAAATATTCTGCCATATTTACTTTGGTCTAGAAGTATTAGCATACAAGTCCACTTAAAAAATACCCACATGTAAGGGTTAAGAGACATCATTACGTGTCATAATTTCATATTTGGAGTTAAATCAAAAAGACTAACATACAGCAATGTTCCTTGATTTGTAATCCTAACTGAGATTAAGCAAATTAGTGGGTCACAGGATTGCTTACTCAACCTTCCTAAGCCCTTCGAGACTGTCTCTAACAAAATCCAAGTACATAGCGCATGTGTGCGTGTATACATATATACAACAGATAAGATGAAGTTGGAGTCACTTGTATTTTCCCAGTTTCCTCTATTATATAATACTGTATGTAAGTGAAACTAGAAGAACAAAGATAAAAATGTAGATACAACAGTCGGGGTTACTTAACAGCAAAGTACTACAGTTATAAAAAGGTCAAGTCTAATCATGTCCTTTCCTGGGTGTTTCAATGCTTCCTTGCCCACCTAAATCCACACGAAGTCTTCTTTCTTCATGGAGACATCACAATGCTTGTAGAGAGAAACTGGAGTCTCTTGTGCTACTTCTTCATCATGACAACCTTCCAGTCTTGGATGATCTCAGGCTGCCCAGCTACCAAACCCAATGAATAGCAATGGCTGCACGCCCCTCTTAAACTGGATTCTGAATTCTGCTCATCCCAGTATCCAACAGTCGAAACGTTTCCCCTCTTCTTCCTTTGGAAGGGTTTGTTTTGTTTTTTAATAAGAATTCTGAGTTCCAGCTGTCCAGGAACCTAGTGTACGGAATGGAAATCTCCTGCAGGGCAACTGGACTGAGGACAGTTGTTGATGGTGTGGATCAGTGTAAAAGAACTGTTCAAACCTTCAGAGGGTTTTTAGCAAGGAGATTACATGTCTGCAGGTATGAAGGCAAAGCCACTGTGGATGCATTTCTGAGTGAGACAAACAAGGGACAGAGCTTTGTCCTACCTCTCCACTGTGCAAGACAAAGCTACTGCATGAGGCAAAGAAGGTCGTGGTTTTCTCTCGCTTACTCAAGCCTGTGATGGGTAGTGTGTGTGTGTGTGTGTGTGTGTGTGTGTGTGTGTGTGTGTGTGTCTATGTGTGTCTGTGCCTGTGTGTATGTGTGTTTGTGGCGGGGGATGTTTCTGGCACTTCTGCCCTTTGGCTTTCTACCAGAAGGTACTTGGGACTGCATCATCAAGGAGGCTAGCAATTGTAAGGGTTAGGCTTTGCCACTTGCAAGTGCCTGGGAATTGTGGGAATTAACTACCACCTGTGTATGCGCCTTGTGCCCAATCTCCTGGATACTCCTTTAGTGGATTGGGGGATGTCATGTTTGGCTGGGACAGACCCGCCACTGTGCATGACTTTGTGATGGCTGGAAGACTGCAGAAGGTTCCAGAAGAATTTATACCTTTGTTCTCTGTGCTGAGGCTGCTGAAAGCAGCAGATGGCACAGGTAATCACAGGCGTACTCTGGAAAGGCTCTTGCCTAGGCTTTCTATGACGTCAGTGGATCAGTCAGCTTCCAGCGAGCAGCCTTCCTCTGAAAGCATACACATGCTCTTAGGTCATCTTCAACATGCTTCCTACAGATGTTCACATCAGTCCTCAATATCTTCGATTGATTGCTCAGGGAATTTTCCTGCCAGTGCTATGGACAGGCTGAAGTTGTAGTGACTTACACATGTATTTTTACAAGGATTGTGATGCAGAAAAGCAGTTTCTAGAGAAAGTTTGAGTGCTCTGCTTTCCTTGCTCAGTGTTCAGATATGTTCAATAACATTGTAACCAATTCTCACAGTATCCAATTATCTGAACACATTTTAAATGGTGCAGAAAGCAGATGGGAATGAAGCCTGTTATAGCTCTTTTACCATTTACCATGCTTGGAAGAGGCCATCTCTGTGACATCTGACCCTTAGTTTTCTCCGGTGACCCAAAACAGTTCAGCAGCCAATTCCCATTAGCATTTACCAGAGAGTTTTAAAATTAGCCTACAATTAAGCCCCTCCCCTCTCTCCCACCAGTAGAAATACCATGGTTGAGAACTTGGCTAGATCTCACAAGATCCCAGGGATGCTGGAGGGGGTTGGCTGTTTTGTTTACGTGTACTTTGCAGAAGGTTAATGCTCAAAAACCCAAAGTAGATATTTAGGATCCTTTTCCTGGAATTTTTCACAAGTGAGTTTTACTTGTTGGTTAATGTTAGATTTCACTCCTTGACGAATGTTAGGCAAACAAAACTAAACTTTAAAAAAAAAAGAAGAAAGAAAAAAAGCCCACCAACTTTTATCTCAGAAGAACTTTCTAACTATTGCGCCACTCCAAGGATAACACTCCCCACAACCGTTTGCCCCTGATCCTTTTGGTCACTTTCTTCTGACTCGGGGAGAGGCAGGTTCTCCAGGGAGTCGGTGTTGTCATGGCCCGGGTCAGCTGCTTTCTCCTGCTGCCGTGAGACCTTGAATAAGTGCTTCTTCTGGTGCATGCCCAGGGCAGCGGCTGTCTTGCATATCTTGGGACACTGCAGGCAGGCGAAGCCCTTCCCATCGTGCTCCCGGACGTGCCTTTGCTCGTGGTTCCTCTTGGTGGAGAGGTACAGAAAGCTCTGAAAGCAGAACTGGCAGTGGTAGCGCTTTTCGCCCGTGTGGATTCTCTCGTGGATCTTGAGGGTTTCATTCAGCGTGAAGGCCTTGTGGCAGTACTGGCAGATGAACTCCTTTAAGCCCAGGTGGATGCGCTCGTGTTTCTGCAGGTTCCCTTGCACCGAGAAGCACCGCCCACATGTCTTACATGGGTATGGCTTCTCGCCGGTGTGACACCTCATGTGCATCTTGAGCGTGGAAGGGCTCTGGAACTGCTTGGTGCATAGCTCGCAGACGTGAGGTCTGGAAGCCAGGTGCCTATGGGGCCGGCATTGGCCCGCATCCGCTGTCGCCTTGTCTCCGTCACAGAGTTCACACTGTGGCTTGGGCATGTCTTTATGGTCCTTGTCCTCCGATGCCTTGTCCATGGGAGCTGTCCCTACGGCCCGGTCCAGCTGTGCGGGGAACTGGGCTCTGGTACTGGGACTCCTGCTCCCGTGTTCTCTCCTCCAGGTCACTCTCCTCATTTTTCTCAACTGTCTCGATTTCTTCTTGGGTTTGTAGTTGTAGTAAGGGCGCCACGGCTTGTCACTGGAATCCTGGTCGCTCACATCGTCAAACACCTCGCTCATCTCCAGGCACTCGGATTGGCAGAGGCCCAGGGGATTGTCTGCCTGGGTCTCCGGGTCGCTCTCCTGGGGCAGCGACTCCTCTTGTACCTGACACTTGGACCTTCTCCCTCTTTTATAAAATAGCTTGGAGCCCAGGATGTGCCTCTTCACAATGGCTTCATTCCCGATTTTCACCGTGATTTGGCAAAGGGGCGCCACATTGCTGTTGGTGGAGGTGCCGGGCAGGGCAGGTTTTGCAATGTAGGTTTCAATCTTGCTTGTCTCCTCAGTGGTGGCAGTGGTGGTGGGACCACTGACTTTGCTCAGAGACCCGCTGGGATCAGTGCTGTGTTTGGACTCCTCCGGACTATCTCCTTTGCCGCAAGCTACCATTTTCTTTTTCTCCTTAACACTCTTGGGCCTGCTTGCCAACCGACTCCCTCTGTCTGGTTCAGATTTGCCATCATCCCTCAAGTGCTGCTCGGCGGCTGGGCTGGAAGCAGCTCTCTGATTGCTGCTGGCTGTAGCACTGATGGCGTTGCTGTGCGTTATTACCGATGAGAACTGGCTGCTGTGTACAATGACTGAGGGTGCAGGGCCCCTGTAGCTGATCACAGATGTGGCATTCTCGCTGCTATTACTCAGGGACAAGACAGGCATGTCACCTGCCTGGGAGTTAGAACTGACAGCAGCTGCTGCAGAAGAGACTGGCCCTTCAGTTGAGTAGATGTTATGGTCAAGGTCGATTTTCCGAGCCTCCTCTCCCCACTTGCTGTCCTCTGAATTCTGCACATTGGCAGAAGTTGATATGTCCTGATGGGCAGATGTTTCCGACAGGACAGCTGGACCGCCGGCCAGGGTGCTGACGCTGTCCTGGAAGTTCAGGGTGGGTAATTCAGAGCTGGGTGGTGGGTTCTGAACCACATAGGTGCTGGGTGTAGGCTCGCTCACTTGACTGCTTCCTTGGGCGTTTTCAAAGGAAGAATTTCGGTAGCTCTTGTAAGGTGCTCTCCTGCATTTCATTGGCAACAGCCGATAGAGTTTGTAGGGGTAGACACTGGGCTTCAAGCCTCCGTTGGCTGTCTTCTTGCTGACGGAGAGCCTGTGATCTATGGCATGGAAGGACTTTTGGTGGTTCTTCAGGATATAGTAGGTCATGAATGTCTCCAGACAGAATATGCACTGGTAGCGCCTTTCTCCTGTGTGCCAAATCTCGTGCCTTGTTCGGTACTCGGCCAATGCGAACACCTTGTTGCAGTAATGGCAGGGATACGTTCTTCTCCATGAGTGGACATTGGCATGTCGTCGGAGGCTGGACAATGTCACATAACTACGCTTGCACACCACACAGCTGTAAAGCATCTGCCCGTTAACAAATTTCACCATGTGGTCCTCATCTGGCAAGGTGCTTCTGGTGCTGGAAAACTCAGCGACCGTATTTTCAGATAATAAAGGCTCCGGGCCAGGGAATGGCCCCCCATTCTGCCCAATGGTGGGGTAGTTCTCCAGGAAGCGTTGGTTCCCTCCAGCCACAGGCATGTGGCTTGACCTCATGCAGATCTGCTCGTGCCGATCCAATCTGTTGAGGGTGGTGAACTGTTTATTGCAGTATTTGCAAACCAATGGCTCCTGCGTGGGCTTGTGCAGCTGCATGTGGGCGCCGAGCAGGGTGCTGCTCTCAAAGGACTTGGAACAACAGCTACAGCTGTAGACGAGAGCCGGTGCCTCTGCAGCTGGCGGGCCGGGGACCTCAGCTGGCTGGTTTTCCTCTTCCCTGGGAAAATGGACCACGGTTTCTTCATTGCTGGGAGACTGTGAGTGAGAAAGGACAGCATCTGGCTGTGGGCTGTGCTCCTGGGTCACCTCAAAGCTGGCTGCCGCGGGGGGTGCTATGTTCTCTGCCGGGGACTCGGAATCCTGAGGTGTGGAGAATGTCTTGGGCTTCCGGAATGTCTTTGGCTTTGCTACCAGTGCCTCACCATTCTCCCTGGCCGTCTCGCCGGGAGAGCTGCCCTCAGGCTCATGGGCAGGTTGGCTCCGGTAGACCTCGGTTATGGAGGAGACAGCATAGGAATGCTCAGCCAGCGTGCGCACTGGCTCCACCTCGTGGCATGTGTTGGCTCTCTCCAGGCAGAGGCTAGCTGTCCTCATGGAGTCTGAGACCTTCTTGAAGCTCGCCCTCAAGTCTAGGGGGGAAAACATGTTGGCACTGTTTTCCGTCTCAATGATAGAAAATGCGTTGGTGATCCTCGGCCCGTTGGCGACGGCCGGCTCCTCATGCCTCCTCTCACTCTTTTCTTCTTTGAGCACGCCCTTTTCGGTGATGCAGAAGACGTAAGGGCCGGGGGAACTGGCGAAGTTGCGATCGCTGAGGTCCTCCAGGAAGGAGATGCCCAGCTTCTTCCCGGCAGCTGCCAGGTCTGTGACGGTTTCCTGCCTCTTGACCACCACCGTAGAGCTGTAGATGTAGTTCAGGATCTCTGTGAACACCTCGGCCTTGAGGTCGTCCAGCTCCAGCACGTGGCTGGAGATGCAAATGGCATGGCTCCAGAAGATGTTCTTGAAGTAAAGGCTTGAGGCGGCCAGAACGTTGCTGTGCGCTTTGAACTTGGTGTCTTCCACAATGATGGTGACATCGCACAGGATGCCCCTGATGCGTTGCTCATTCAGGATAGATAGCACTGTGTCACTGTGCAGGTCATCCTTGAGGTCCCTGGAAAGGGACATGACTGTCATCTGAAACAAAGGAGACAAACAGTCAGAGGCCCCTTTCCACGGGTGGCTTCTTTATCATGACACAATTGTCAACTTCTGTGAGCAGCACTGTGGGTGTTTTTGTTTGTTTTGTTTTGGGGGAATGGGGTTGGGTGGGTGATATGGGGTGGGGCATGAAAACTCAGGCACTGATCTCATGCTGGCCTTAGCATCTTCAGGAGAAGCCAAAAGTTTTCCTCACGCTGGCCTGTTTCTCACGCCTGTTTCTTTACGGCTGGGGATTGTCCCAGAATCTGTGCCCCGCTATCCTGTGAGCTGTAGTTGTCCAGAGGTGAGCGGCCAGGGGAGGGGAGAAGCGTGGGGTTCTCATCATCACTTTGGCCCCTAGGGAGCTCAGCAATGCCATGGTACTGTCTCATGCTCCCTTTTTCAAAAACATCTTGGATGATCTGAGCCAAACCCAACTCATGAACTGTGCAAATCAAAACCAGCTCTCCTTAAGTTAGTGGCACCTGTGGCTCACAGAAGCAGGAACTGAGGGGGCTGCTTGTCTGATCTGTGCTCTGAGGAGTCTCTTTGTGGAGTGTATGGTCTGGAGACCACTGTCAGAGGTACCCCACCTCTCCATGCTCTGGCCCAGGTATGGAGCCTTCCCACTCCTTTCTGATGGCCCCCCAACTGCAGCCAAAGTAAACTGCAGTTTTCAGAAACGACTCAGCAAGGTTCTGAGTTTTGAAAAGGAGACAGAACACAAATACAGCAAACAAGTGTTGCTTAAAAGGCACTTTTTGGTTCTCTGGTCTTCCCCTCACATTCTCTTCTCGGCTGTGCTATCTGCTCGAGTCACCCTGGGAGCTTGGGAGGGCCAGAGTGCACTGACATGCTAGTGAGCATGGCTCTCCACAGTGGCAAGAAACACATGGCATGCAGATGGCGTCACTCTGCCAGGATGATGCATTTCCTTTAAAAATGTCAACAGCAACTCAGTAGGTCACCCCACTGTTCCATGGGACACACTCATCAGCTGTCCCTCCAGTCTTCTGTGCTTCTGCCACCTCAAGTGACTCTCTGGAAAGGCAGGCAGCCTTGTCCACCTTGTGACCTCTCAGTGCCACTGCACCAGTGTCTAGGATGCTGGAGCATGGCATTTGGCTCTGGTATTTGTTTGGATGGGGAGACCAGATGGCCACACAAAGAACCTCTCTTTTACCTTTCTATAAAGCTGCTAATCTAAGCTTTTACATAAGGATCCATTTGAGAAATTATTTTAATTACAATTGGCCATAGGAAGAAAAAGAAGTACCCTGCCTTCAACTGTTATCATCTATGGAACTTTTCTAGAAGTGTGGAGTACTATTATTTACAGAATGTGGGGTATTATTAAGTAGCACAGAATGAGAGGAAATGAAATATGTTTATATATGTCCATATTTTTTTAATTTGAAAAATTTGTTTATTAAAGTCAGAGTTACAGAAAGGAATGGAAAAGACAAAGAGAGGAGAGATCTTCCATCCACTGGTTCACTCCTCATATGGCTGCAATGACCGGGGCTGGCCCAGGCTAGGGTCAGGATCTTCTTCTGGGTCTCTGAGACAAATGGGCCATCTAGTGCTGCTTTGCCCAAGCCAGTAACAGGGAGCTAGATTTGGAAGTAGAGCAGTTGGGACTCAAGTCAGCTCTCAGATTGAATGCTGGCTCTACCCACCATGCACAGCACAGTTCTGGAGATGCAATATTGATGGCTTCCTCTGTGCCTAACATGTCCTGCCCTGCTCACAGCCCAGTAACACACACCGTGGATGTGTCTTTTCCTTTCCTTGAGGTCTCGCTGCCCCTTTGCAGGATCTGCTTTGCCCACAGATCCATATATTCTTATTCTGTCTGGCTTCTCTGAAGCCCAGGCTGGGCTTCCATTCCTTATCGAGCCTAATCAGACAACATATGATCTGACAAACACATGCTCTGTGACTCAACAAGGTGGCTTCTATCTTGGCTTAGGTCCATCCTGATGTCATCCTTTTTCCTTCTAATTCAAAACCACTGATTCTTCCAAAATGCCTCCTCTTAACAGCACTGTGAAGCACCCAAAGGTTCTACTTCCATTTGGGAAGTCTACTGGTCCCTGGAGACCTGTAGAGGATTGTTTCTAGGACCCCTCCAACCATGGAGACCCAAATGTGCATATGATCAAGTACCTTCTATAAAAAGGTGTAGTATTCCCACATCTACACAGTCTTACCATGGACTTTTAAATAGCTCTAGGTTACTTTTTATATCTAATGCAATTAGCTGTTACATTGTACTATTTAGAGAATAAAGACCTGCACAGATTCCTCCTCCTACCCCCCCCCCGCTTGAATTTTTTTTAGATTTTTTTAAAATTTGAAAGGCAGATTTAACACGAAGAGGAAGAGACAGAATTATCTTCCATCCTCTGATTCACTCCCCAAGTGGCTATAATGGTCAGAGCTGAGCCAATCCAAAGCCAGGATCCAGGAGCTTCTTCCGGGTCTCCCTTCATGCTTGTGCAGGGTTCCAAGGGTTTGGGTCATCCTCCACTGCTTTCTCAGACCACAGGCAGGGAGCTGGATACGAAGTGGAGCAACCAGGACATGAACTGGTGCCCATATGGGATCCCCGTGATTGCAAGGAGGAGGATTAGCCAATTGAGCCATTGTTCCAGCCCCCTCCACCCAACTTTGAATATTTTCAGTCCACAGTTCATTGAATCCTCAGATGTGAGAACCAATTGTATGGAGTTGCACATCAGGCTAATAAAGAGTCCAAAGTATTCTGGTTCCTATTTATAACACGAGAGGTTCAAGAAGCTCATTGGGGGCCAGTATAGTGGCACAATGGATTAAGTTGCTACTCGGGACACCCACACTGCATGCTGGAGTACCTGCTGGTGTTCTGTCCCTGCTTTTGATCTAGTTTCCTGCTCATGCACACAGTGCAGGTAGCAGGTGATAGCTCAAGAACTTGGGTCCCTGCCACCCACACAGGAGACAGAGTGCCTGGCTCTTGGTTTTGGCCTGGAACCAGCCTCAGCTTATTGAGTTCATTTGGGGAGTGAACAAAGAAACAGAAGATTGATTTCTCTCTTTCTTTGCTTTTCAAACCAATGAATTTCTTTTAAACAAATGTTTTCAAAACTTTGTGCAACATTCATGTAAACTTTTAAGTCCATTCTCCCACAATATTTCTGAAGCTTGCTCCTCTAAAAAGCTCTACCCATTTAGGTAGTTTTTCTTTCCTTCTCTTGAGTTCAATTAGGACTGATAGCAAAAGGTCAGAGTTAACAGTTAGTACACTAGTCGTATTTAAAACTAGAATAACAGACTCAGTAACAAGCATCATTATCTATGCTATTACAACATTCTTAGAGGTTTGGAAACTTCATGTATGGCAATTTTCAGGAACAGAAATCCTTTTACGACCATAGTTACTATGTGGCACTCCCACCAGACTTTCTGACCCACATACATACAAAATGACTGTCTTATGTCAATTTTATTCAGCAAGTATGTTAATACTGAACATGGTCAGATAGGAATCTGAGTGGGAGACACAACTCAAGTAAGGCAAGCCTTACTCCCAGGAGCTCAGAGTCTGAGAGGGGAACTGAGAATGCCAGGGTGGCAGGTGGTGAGCTTCCCACTGCAGGTGAGGGTTTGAGGCTAGAAGACTGACAGTTTATTATTGACAAGGGCCCTGAATCACTGGCATCAGTGGAGCAACACAATGGTAGTGGGAAGGCCATTTCAAGCAGAAGAAACATTGGGGACAAAATCAAATAGAAAATGATACGAGTGCATGTGTGCAGGGACCAATGACAAGGCTGGGTGGTGGCTGGAGAAGGTGGAGGCCGTTCCAGGAGTGCCAGGCACATGATGGCCTCAGCATGCATCTAATGATGACAAAGCCCAGAAAGGAAGGGTGGGGCCAGTCCATGAGGGGCCTCCCCTGCAGTAAACACTGTCCAAAGCAGTATTTGTCAGTTTTTATTTCTGTATGGAATGCCTGGAGCAGGCTATTAAAGAAGGAAAAGAGGTTTATTCAGCTCATAGTTTTAGATGCTTGAAGTCTCAACTTCCTGGGACACACTCTGCAAGGTCCCAGGGGAGATGGAGGGAGCAAATCAGGTAGGGGTTGGGGCAGGAGGAATTATATCTCCAAACAGAAAGTGGGGGAGGGAGAAAGAAAGAAACCAAGCAATCAGCAGGGCCAGGGTCAGGCTTCCACAAGATGCTCTTGAGAATGCAAAGCAGTCCCAGAAAGTGACCTACATCCCTTTCAAGGGTGTGCTGCCATGTGGTGTGGGAACATGCAAAGTAGATGACCACAGGGAGCACAATGAAAGCAGAGTTTGAAAATGTGCAGGGAGCAGGCAGTGTGCTAAGGACTTGGGGTGGGAGATCAGCCATGATTTTAGTGGTAGAGGCAAGAGGCAGCCCATTGGCCCAGCTAGTGAGGGCCTGGAGAAGAGCAGGTGTCCTGCTCTGCAGCTTAGAGACTGAGATGAAGATGGGAGGTGGAGAAGGGAGGTTGGTGGAAGAAATATATGAACTCAGAAATAGAGTTTAATTCCTCGGATAAATATCTACTGAACGCCATTTACTGCTAGGTCCCAGGTATCACCTGGGGTCCAGGCTTCTGAGCACATGTGTACTGCAACCCCATCACGTGCTTTCTAACACCATTTCTAAACCCAGCCATGCATCAACATCACCTGGGGAATTGGAGCTAAGCTGCCATCAGGTTCTGAGATCTGTTTGTACTTTTACACTTTCTCAGCACTGAAGAAGCAGTACATTCATGTGACACCAAAGTGAAAAGGCACCGAGAGTTCACCTTGGGAAGTACTCTATCTATCTTGCCTCAGGTGGTTTTCAATCAACCAGCCAGACCCAGGCCTAAAGGGTTAAACTGCAACCCAGTGCCTTAAGAGGGTTGGGGTTCTGTCTATCAAGGCTTGCCAAGATGCAGAAAGGGATGCTTCAGCAGCCAGAGGGGAGGGTCTCAGCAGCCCCCTGCAAAGAGAAGCAAGGGATGGGCTTCAGCTCTGTAGATACAGACAAAGGCACCTTCTGAAGGCTGCCGCTTCACATACCAGCATCCCAACTTAGGGAAGATCCAATCCTGCTCTGCTTTTTGTTTGTTTGTTTGTTTAAGATTTATATTATTTATTAAAAAGAGAGAGAGAAAGAGAGAGAGCACACTTCCATTCTCTGGTTCAGCTCTGCAAATGGCTGCAATGGCGGGGATAGACCAGGTTAAAGCCAGGAGCCAGGGGTCCCATCTATGTCTCCCATGTGAGTGCAGAGGCCCAAAGTTTTGGATCATCCTCCACTGCTTTCCCAGGTGCATTAGCAGGGAGCTGGACTGGAAATGGACCAGCTGGGACTCAAACTGGAGCCTACATGGAATCTTGGTGGCTACGCCACAATGTTGCCCCCGGCTCTACTTCTAAATGCAATTTTTAAAAAGATTTATTTATTTTTATTGGAAAGTCAGATTTACAGAGAGAAGGAAATACAGACAAAAAGCTCTTCTGGGAGCTGGTTCACTCCCCAAGTGGCTGCAATGGCTGGAACTGAGCAAATCTGAAGCCAGGAGCCTCCTCGGGGTCTCCCATGTGGGGGCAGGATCCCAAGATTTTGGGCCATCCTCAACTGCTTTCCTAGGCCATAAGCAAGGAGCTGGATGGGAAGTGGAGCAGCTGGGATATGAACCGGTGCTCATATGGGATCCTAGCATGTGTAAGACAAAGATTTTAGCCACTACTCTACCGTGCTGGGCCCCCAGTTCCACATCTAATCCGGCTTTCTGCTAATGGAAAACCATTGGGTGATGGACCCCCTGCAATCCATACAGAAGACTCAAATGGAATTCCTGATTTTGGCCTGACCCAGACCTAGCTGTTGTGCTGCTGAGGGGAGTGAACCAGAAGATCTTTGTCTATTTCTGTGTCTCCCTCTCCATCACTCTACCTTTCATATAAGTAAATAAATAAATACTTTAAAATAAATGGAAAAAAAGAGGCCAAATCAACATTTTAGGCCCTCAGGAAATGTATAATCTCAGTCAATGCAACAGCTTAAAATGAGAATTCCAAACGTACAAACTGGAAAAAGGGAGAAACTTGTTGAGGAAGTGCTTTAAAGTATCCAATCTTGGCTGTGTACCCTCCCTAAATGGTGCACTTTTGTCACCAAAGCCTTCAGGACATTGTGATCCACCTGCTGGGTGATCTCTGAAGGTGCAATGGCCAAGAGCCATTCTCTGAGTGTCCCAGTTGTCAAACAGAATTGGGCTTCACATCTGGGGACCAGCGGGAACCCACAGCTGGTCACAGAGCAGTTCTGGTTCCCAAAGGCCTTGTGATTTTAAAATCCTGTTGTTTTTTTCTTTTTTTAAACTTGGCTAAAAATGGTGAAAAACACTTAAGATTTAACACAAATATCAATATGTCCTTTTCTGAAAAGTAGACCATTGGGGTTGTCATCTGCTTGGCAAGGACAGAGGTCGAATGGCTAGGTCCCTGTTCAGGGGCTGTGAGCAAGCAGCCTTTCCTCCTGGTACTGTGGCCTGCCTGTCCCCCACTGGGAAGCAGAAGGCACTGGGCCAGGAGACCTGAGCAGTCATACTTCCAGTATGTGCAACAGAGCTCTCAGCCACAGGGGGACACCGATTCGGCCAAAATGGAGCTCCTCTGCAGCGTTTTTCCAGGGCCAGTACCTTGTGACACAGGCCTGGGGAGCGCCTGGCAAGGGAAAGCCCGCCACAGGTTTCCAGAAGAGAGGCACTTGGGAAGAAGCATGCAAGACTTTCTCTGCTCAGTCTCGCCGAGAGGCCAAGCACCACAGCCTCCTCAAGTGTTTTCTACAAAGCATATTTCATGCCATAAGTTTGCTATTCTAAGTGTTGTTTCCCCAAGATGGAACAGAAAAACATGAAAAAGATGTTCTGGGATGCAAAAGTTCCAGTAAGCCAAGATTTTAGGAAAAGAAAGTTGTTTTCAGATAACTAAACGGGCTCATTTGACTCCTATTACTCTTCCCCTGTATTTTGCCCAAGGTAACTTAAGCTACTTACCTACAATACTTGAATACATACATTTATGTGGGACCAATGTGAATAAAAATACATATGTGAACAAATAAATCTTTGAACTGTTTTCAAAAGCATAAATGCATACAAATAGGATGAGCACACAATTGAACACCCAAAGTGGGATGTCTGAGAGCAGAGGTTCCACTCACAGTTCTGCTAGGCAGAAGGAGCCCCATGGTGTCGGCACCCCAGCTAGTCAGAAGGAATGGCCATTTATGCTGAAAAACAGGGGCAAAATCAAAACCTCTATATTCCAAGATGTTAATGGCTGCCTTCTGAGTTTAAGTATGTATGTTTTTAGATGGAAAAGGGTATTTATAAAAGGATAAAATATTCTTGAGAATTTTGTCAATGCATGAAAACTGGGCTTTATAGAATTTCTCTTGCATGAATGTCTCCCAGGGAGTCCTCACATTGGGAAACAGTGGCTGCTTTACCCCCTCCCTCCACCTTCCACAGTAAACACACACTAAAGGCACTGAAGATGCTTCTGTTGGTTACGATGGCAGAATGGCCTCACTGGGGAAGAAGCAAGGAAGGAAACGCCGTGCTCCTGGCCTATGCTCCATGGACGACAGAGGTGCACGGGGAACAGTGTGGAAGGGCCTGCTCCTAGCACCCACAGGCTTGTGGTGCACACTGCACACATGTTGCTTGCCTCCTGACCCTGAGGACTTGTACATTACAAGTGAGACTTCAGGAGGAAGGCCCGAGTTCCCCACCGGCTCTGAGCCTTGTCTCGCAGCCCACGACTCCAGTGCCTCTCACCCTCGTCCATACTCATGCATGGGTATGGTGTACCCAGGGCAGCCAGGCCCCTGGTTCTGCTGTGCTTGCACACATCTATATGATATACCTGCTCATATTCACAGCCACTGGTCCTGGGAGCTCCCTAGTGCAGGAAGATCAGACCTGCCTTTGGCTCTGCACCCCTCAGCACCATGTACTGGTGATGCTGACAGAGCCAAAGGCAGGGTAGTTCTTTAAGTCATGTTTAAGAAACCTCTGTGGAGGGGAGCAGGTTGCTCAGACTCCTCTCAGCAGATCGATTAGGTGAAAATTCTTTCCACAGAAATATTACACTGCTCTTCACTTTTGTCACTATGCTGACTTGCACAGTAATAGTGCAAAAGTAATGATGGGTAATTCGAACTTAGCAAGCATCAAGACACTAACACATAACTGAAGAAGAAATTATTGTGTGTGAATATTCATCTTTTCAATGTTCTGTGTGACAAAAGGGGAAAGACAAGTAAAACACTTGCACAGAGAGATGACAGCCTGGAGGGAAAGAAATGGGCTGAGTTGCAAGCTGAACTAGCCATCTCTTTCTTCATTAACACCATTTTTTTTTTCCTTGAGAGAATGGTCAATAGACAAGTTATTATTATTCATATCTGTATTAGTCAAGTATTTTCTTGAAAATGCACTAAGGGACATTACAAAGGCACATTTACTCTGTTGCACCACCATGCCAACCCCTTCTAAATTGTTTTTTTTCTAAAGATTTATTTTATTTATTTGAAAGAATTAACAAAGAAGGAAGGCAGGAGAGAGAGAGAGAGAGAGAGAGAAAGAGCGCGAGAGAGAGTCATCTGCTGGTTCTCTGCCCTGATGGCCACAGGTGTCAGGGCTGAGCCAGGTTGAAGCCAGGAGGCAGGAGGTCCACCCAGGGGTCCCAGTGGGTGCAGGGACCCAAATCCTTGGGTCATCTTCCTTTGCTTTCTCAGGTGCATTAGCAGGGAGCTGGATGGAAACTGGAGCATCTAGGTCTCAAACTGGCATCCATAAGGAATGCCAGCATTGCAGGTAGAAGGTTTATGTGCTATACCACAATGCTGGTTACCTAAATTGCTTGTAAATAAATTATTTCACATTTCTGTCACTCAAAGTAAGTGACATGTATGCCTACAACAGCTGAAGAGAAAGGAAGTATGGTAAACCATAAAAGGCCCTGGGACGGCTGGAGAGGCTGAAGGACAGAAACACAGTTCCATAGGCACGCAGCCGCAGGGCTGCTTCAGGCCGGCATTGGAGAACAGAGCTCAAAGATAGATCTGTTACAATGAGAAAAATATTGAAACCCAGGCATTTTTTTTTCACAACACATTTTTTTTTTGTGAGCTTTTTGAAGACCTCTTGCATGCATGAATTTCGAAACAATTTTTGCAACAAAACAAGTTTAACTTTCCACAAATATTTTTTTTTCTGTTGTTTTGGAAGGCTTGCCATCCACACGCTGCAGCTGACCTTCATTCTCTAAACAAACCTGAGCTTGGCTGAGAAGGCTGGGAACTGACAGCCATTTGCCAGGCAGGGTGAGCGCAGGTGAGTGTTCTCTGTTGGGCGTTGCCTCTGCCTGCTTTCAGCCTGCATGGCCTGTGAGGCTGGCTCACAGGAGCTATTTGCCTGTAGGAAGCTCTCTGCTGTCTGAGTGAAACCCAAGCCCATCCCTGGGTCCTTGGGAAGCCGCTTTTGGGCCTTGGTCCACTCACAGGTTGCACTGGAAAGAAGGGAGGTGGTTGCTCCCAGTTCACTAACCCAGGCCTAGCTCCCAGAATTTCCAGGTTCATCAAATCTCCCTTCTGCCCAGTTAGCTCAGGCTTCTAAACACATAGACTTGAGGACAGTGACAACATGATGTAACAGTTTCCATACAAAGTCTCACAACAAAGGAAGGCAAACCTCTTGACAGGGTTAACTGACAGATCTAGTACACAGCTCTTTATAGTCTTGCAAATAAAACCTGGTGTCTATTGTTGTTAGTAAATCTTCAAGACATAACGCAGAGGAAAATGGAGAACTCCTGTTGCCCAGCCACAAGGAGAACTGGAAGCCACTTACTGAAGGCCACTCGTCAGGGCGAGGACGAATCCTGTTTTTCTGAATCTCCTGGTCCAAGGGAAAGGCTGACAGCCCTTCTCCTGGCTGCGTCTCGGCCGCTGGACTCCTCCCCTACATCACAGCAAAACCGAATCTGCAGATCCACGGGACAACTTTCTCCTCTCGCTACTGCAACTTGTCTTCTATAAAAAGAAACGTAGAAATCAAACCTAACTAAAAAAAGAACGCACTGTATTAGGATACTGATCTGGAGCCCTACAAAAGTCAGGCGTGCAGTCCATGTTGGGTCACAGGAGGTGCCATACACAGGGTGCGCAGGTCCCTGTGCACAGCTTTTTGGCCAGCACACTGCTTCAACAAGCTGGCTCCAGCGGCCCACACATATCTTTGCAATTGGTTTTCTCACAGTCATGTTGGATGACTGCGTCAGACCACATGTGACCAATGTTAGCAACACACTCACTCATCAGATCTGGAAGATTACAAAACAGAACCCCTTTATGGAACTGAGCTGCGACTAGGAAAATAAAATTTAAATGCCCTGGATTTTGCCCTCCAAGTGAAGCCCAGCAAAGGGGCTGCCTTGATCATTCTTTAATGTATTTAAGCTATCAGATTTAAGAGGGCACAGAATGACAAGGGGAGTTTCTTAGAGCACCCACCAGATGGAGAGGCTGGGGCAGTCTCCCCTATGCCCTGGAGAAGCCAAGCTTTCCGACTCCAGACTTTCCCAACGGATGATGACTGTGAGCAGCATCAGGTGGCAAGTGATGCCATGGGTCTGGCTACATGCTTTAGGTAGCTAATTTGCAATGATGAAAGGGGGAAGGGGACTTCTTTTATTTATTATTTATTTTTGGATGCACAGCAGTGTGTCAGGTGAGCTTGTGTTCCTCTCAGAATCAGATTTGGCTGGGCACCTGCTTCTCTTTGCAGAAATTTGGCAGACAGACTTCAAGACTCTATCATTGTAAGTTTCCACAACTATGCCCCACCCCCTTAAAACAGATTTTATTTATTTGAAAGGCAGAGTTACAAAAGAGAGAGAGAGAGAAAGAGAAATACAGAGAGATCTTTCATCCACTGGTTCACTTCTCAAAGGGTTGCAATGGCCAGGACCGGACTAAGCAAAAGCCAGGAGCTTCTGTATCCCACATGGGAGCAGGGATGCAAGCACATGGTTCATCCTTCACTGCTTTCCGCAGGCACACTATCAGCAGACAGGCCTTGACCTGCTGCACTGCCCTGGCCAGTTTCTTGTTTCAACTAAATCCCTTTGACATTCTAAGTCTCAACTGTAGGAGGTATTTTAAAAACACTGACTATTTATTTGAAAAGAATAGACCCAGTGGGACTCTCCTATCTGCTGATTTACTCCCCAGTCAGCAGCGGGCCAGCCCGAAGCCAGGAGCCAGATATCCCAGCCAAGTCTCTCATGCAGGTGGCAGGGGCCAAGTAATTGAACTGTCATCTGCTGTGTCCCAGGACAAATTGGCAGAAAGTTGGATCAGTAGCAGGGAAGCCAGGATTTCAGTAGGCATTCCCACACAGGATGCTGGCACCTCAAGTGGCAGCTTAACCTGCTGCAGAAGGCATTTTCATCTGAATGCTATGCGGACTGAGGGCAAGTTTCCCAGAGCAGAATTCTTATCCCCTAAAACTTTTCATTTTAGGGGTCAACTACAATCAAGAGTAGGTTTCATGGGCGTGCATTATAGTATGGTAGATTATGCCTCAGGTTGTGATGGGTGCTTACTGTAGCACAGTGGGTTAAACCTCAAGTTGTGATGCCAACACTCCATATTAAAGTGCCAGTTTTGGGTCCAGGCACCTCCACTTGGGGACCCAGCTCCCTGTTAAGGCAATCATTCTTGGAGTCAGCAGCCCATGGCTCAAGTGCTTGAGCCCCTATCACCTGGAAGGCCCAGATGGAGGTCCTGGCTCCTGGCTTTATTCTGGCCCAGTCCTGGTTTCATGAGCATCTGGAAAAGTGAGCTCCAGAGGAGAGGTCCTAATCTCTTTGTCTCTCTGTCGTTCTACCTTTTAAGTAGATGAAAATAAATATACTTCAGAAAAATGAAAAATATCTTTAAAAACCCACTTGGTTTCAAAGGCTAGATACCACTTTCTTGAATAGCCAGTGGACAGACTGATTCATGAGGGGTAGCCTCCTCTCCTTGGCTGACTGCTACCTGGAGTGGGCTTGGAGGAGGGCAAGCAGAAGGAAGGTTGCAGTGTCCCTGGCTTGGAAACAAGAATGAACCTCCAGCTAACTGTAGGCAAGCTCTCCTAAAATGGATGGAGTACCAGCTGCTGCTGTTCCGGGACTCAACAACAGAAATTGGCCTCCTCACCTCCCTGTACGCCAGCCACAGCCCTAGTACCCCCTGGCTGGCTGGGGAGCCTGCAAGACAGTCCATCATGGCATGTCTACTGCTTCCTCCTGCAGCAACTCCAGCCTGGGCTTGGGGATGAAGCTTTGCAAGTGTTTACCAGATTGGACCAGCTAATAACTTTGTGGGAGGCCTGCCCCACTGGTGGCTGGGGTGAGAACTACTACCCCTATTGTAGGGTACATGGTGGGCTCCTCAAAACACAAAATGAGATCAGGTAAGCTGCGCTAAAGCCCCGCTTGGGTCTTTCCCTGGCTCAGGATAAAATCTCCACTCTCCACTGTGTTCACTGCCCGTCCCCTCTCCAGCCTCATCTGCTCCCTCCCGCCTCACCCTCTGTTCTGCTCCCAGGTGCCTACTGCCTCCTCCTTCTGGCAAGTCTCTTCCAGCCCCAGAGTGTGGAGACACACTGGTTCCAGTGCTGGCCACAGCTGTCTCCTCTGTACATCTTAATACATAATATCTCCTTGGGAGGCCACTTTCCCTCTGCCCATCCCATCCCTACGTACAGCTCAGACTGACCTGCTTCCTGCCCACTCTGCATATCCAAAAGCTAGGTCCAGAAGGAAGGGGCCTCACCCCTCCTGCCCACCAGTTACGGCTGCATCTCTAGGCTGCACCGTGTTTCAGGATCTCAGAAAATGATTATCCAGTGAATAAGTGAAAGCACTATCCGTATAACACAAGGAATGCTCAGACTGAAATGGCAGGCTGTCGCTTTGTTTATGGCTTCCCCACAGCACGCAGAACATCCCAATACACTGCAGTAGACTGATGTATGACTCATCATCCACTCACTGACCAATTACCCCTGAAGAAGCCACCGGCCAGGAGAGACTAAGGCCAGCATCCTAGAGGCAGGGCTGTGGGGTGGGGGAAGCCGAGGATGGACATTAAGGAAAGCCGACCCCTAAGCATGGGCAGCAGTTGCTGGGACAATAAGAGCACAGCTGGACCTGAGATCTTGTGTGACAGGCCAGGTGTACAACAGCTGGATATGGGCACTTTGCAGGTGTTGCCTGACACATCATCAGAATCTACCCCATGGGCCAGAAAACATTTGCATAGGTAGAATTTCACATTTTTTCCTTAATATTTGTTTACTTGAAAGACAGAGAAGGAGACAGGCATTCCTCACCTGTTGGTTCACTCTCTAAATGGTTGCAACAGCCAAGGATGAGTGAAGCTGAAGCCAGGAGCCAGGAACTCCGTATCCTGGTCTCCCATAGAGGCAGAAGGGACCCAAGCACTTGGTTCATTTTGTGGTACGTTAGTAGGAAGCTTGACTGGAAGTGTAGCAGGAGGGACTCCCAAATGGCACTCCGATGTGGGATGCCAGCATGGAAGGTGGCAGCTTAATCCTCTGTCCCACTAAGTGGGCCCCAGGGTTTGCTCTTCTGGAAACAAATGCAGTGGGAAGGTGAGTACTCCCACTTCGAGAGGTAGCTTCCCTTTCTGTCTCAGTAACAACTGATGTGCTCTCAGGTTTATGAGGCTATGCTGGGGCCTGGCTGCTCAAGGTGCAGCTGGGGAGCAGCGTTCAGGACACCTTGGTCGGGGAGTGCCTTGTGGCTAACACGGAGCTGAACCGTGCCCTGACATCCAAGCACAGTAGGCTCACCAAGGCTGCTGCGGTCATCTGTGACTTGCTCTCATTTCCTGTCACTCTAATACTGGTGAGCCTCCTTTCTGCTCCTTGACCATATCTGGGCTTCTTTCCACCTCAGGGTCTTTGCACAGGCTGCTTCTATAGCCTGAACTGCACCCCTCCTGCAGCCCACCCAGCTCTCCATCCTCCAAGCTTCCCAGCCCCAATCAGGCACACTTATTCTACAGATTCAGCCTATTAATCTTCCATCACACTCTGATAGCAATAAAGAAACAAGGAACCCCATGGGATGTGACTTTGCCTCAGAGGAGCTGTTCTGTGAGGGCTGAGACTTCAGCACAGGGCACTGCTGAGCTGCACAATGGGTGCTGACCAACCTGTATGAAATGCATGCAAGATGCTGGGGCCCACCGCACCTGGCTCAGGATGAGTTCGGTGTGAACTGTCCACCTGTGCTGATGGGGTGGTGCCATCTGTGGGGCAGGAAAGAACCAGAAAAAGGCTGTTTTCAAGTGGGGAGGGACAGACATTGCTGGTCCACACCTGAGCCATCTACTGCCAGGCAAGATGGCGGCACCGTCCCAAGGTGCCTGGCTGACAAGTCCCTCTGGATTGCTGCTTGGGCACAAAGGAAGAAAAACAGCAATCCATCAAGCCCAGTCCTCAGGTTTCCTTCCAAGCCCAGTGACTTGGAAATGGAATACTATTTTAAATTACACTTAAAAAAAAAAAAAAAACTGAAAGTGTGAAGTGGCGAAGTGTGGTGCAGTGTGGTGCGAGGCCTCCATGCTGCGAGTCTGCAAAGGACCTGGCTTCCATGCAACAGCCACCCTCCCTGCTCTTCCCACTCCCTGGAATGGCTGCCAGTTCCCTTCCATGGCCTCTCCCTCACTGGGCTTGGGAGCAGCCAGTCTGCAGATGGCACTGAACCTCTGCCCTTCAGGCTCATGGGCCTCCGGCTGCCTGTGTGGCTCTGTCAGCACGCTTCAGCTCTCCTTCCCTGTTAGAGGAGCTGCAGGGACATGTGCTTGTCAGTAGGGGAGCTCTCAGACTCACCTGGGCGACCACGAGAAGGATCTGGCCGAGGTGACACAGCTAAGATCGAATCAGGCTTCTGGGAGGTAGTGTCTGGCCAAAGAACAAAGGGATGGGGGCATGCACACGGGCCTGCCCACGGAAC